ATATATATATATATATATATATGTATATCGATGTAACCTCGCATCAGGCGAATCCAAAAAGCACAATCCCGAGTAACCACTTTTTGTTCTTATGTTGTTTTTTTCTTTTTGCTCGAAATATAATCACGTTCATTTTTGCTACTTTATGCAATATTGTAGATATTTTACAATACAATACGATATACATTTATTTGCAATTATTTGTTTGTTTCTTATTACAATAAATATTTTAAACAAATACTTAAATAATATAAATAAATAAACTAGATCAGATTCTTACGTTGATGTATTCAATCCAGCTATCAATCTTATTCAAGTTTTACTTAGTATATATGTCTTCGAATGATTTCGAATTTATTATCTATTTTAATTTAAAAGGTTCAATAGATTTTGAAAATAATTGAAAAATGATTTGCTTTTGGAAGAAAAGGCATTAAATTATAAGCGAAAACAACACTTTTGGGCAAGTAAATTTAAAAATGTGAAGTTGTTTCAGTTGAAAAAGTGTACTAAATTCAGTTTTTTTATCTTAAGTCATTTTTGTGTCAGATTATTACTGTTTGAAATAAAAATGAAACATCAATAAAACATCAATACTTCCGTTAGAATAGTAATTATATCTATCATACCTAATAAATATTAACTTTTATTTTTTATACAGTTTTATAATCGAAGTTAAATATCATACTAACATTAGTTATGGTTATTTAATTAGATATTATTTCAACAACACATCTTTTACATAGCAAATACGTATAATATAGTTATAATATTAACAATTATTTATTAGTAAACAACTCTAAATAACCTTTAATCAAAATATTAATTACCCTTTCATATAAATACTTGAGAGAAAATTCAGGTTATAACGATTGTTTATAATTTGAATTGTAAATTAAATCTAAAATAATTAGAAATCATTTAATGAAAATTTTGTCATCTTCCTTATCTAAGGCAAGCATTACTTATATTCGCGTTGCTTTCATTTAACATTCATTGCTTGTAATTTAAATCGCGACTGTATAATTAAAGTTTTTTTAACTTCACCCATTCAACTTTTTCATTCATTCATTTTCATTGTCATCTGTATTGTAATAAATGTTCTTAGTGTGTCACTAAAATAGTAATTTATGACACCTAATGCACTGTTTGTTTCATTATATACAAATATTCAAAAAATATGTTAATGGCTGTAATTATAGGGCATTATTAATGTTAATAGTTAAGTTATAAATGGTCTTAAAATTATTAATATTAGTTCAGTTATTAAATAATGGAAAACCGACATAAATTGCTTAATTGGCTTTGCTTTAAACAAAAAAATGCCTTGTATTTTGAATCATTGCCTATCTCATATAATTAAAAATTCTTTATAACTTTGGAAACTTAGGACTTTTTAGAAAAACAAGCACAAATTTGCTGCATTTTCGATTGTTTTGTATTATGTTAGGTATTATTTTTAAAAGTCAATTCAATGTTTGAACAAATTAAATTATAGAAATATTTGGTGTGTATTACACATCAATTTTGTAATTTTAAATTTTAGTTTAAAAGTACAACGTATGTGAATTGCGAATTCAATACCCTTCATGGTACTTTGTTTTAGATTAGCACGGGTTCCACGATTCCAAAATACACCAGGGATTTCATTTTTTCCCTTTCTGTCAAATTTAGTTTATAACATCGTTTAAACTTGTAATTTCGAGTATACTTTAAAATCGAAGGAGTTAGCTGTTCCCTGCTGTTGTATCAGTAAAATCTTTATTCACTGAAATTAGAATAATAATAAATAATAATTAGTAATTAATAATAACTATAATAACATAATAATTAATAATTTTATAATTACTTATAAAATGTGCAATAGCATAATTTTTCTGTTTATTTGTATTTAAGAAAAATTGTGAATTGTCAATGAATTTTAAAAAATAGTTAAGTTAAATTTTATCTAAAGTCTATGCTGCTTTAAAGTCTATTTATAATTTCCAGAAATCATTGTATGTGAATTTAATAATAATTTTAAGTTTATTTGTATTTATATTTTTTAACATTTAAATACTGTCTGAAATTTTAATCTCCGTCCATTTGACGAAGATGGAACACTAGTGTTCCTTTAAAATATAATTTTTCTGACGCTTTAATCACAGTCAAAAATATATTTTGGTATTTGGAATAATCATTAAAAACAGTCCAATAGTTACTAAAAAATGTTGTTAGTTTATAAAATTTTGTCGGAATTATATTTGTATGAAAATATAAAATTCAAAAAAGAAAGTTTGAAACTTTTTTTTCTTCATTCGTATGAAAAATTTATCAATAATTGGTTTTTTAAACTAAAGAAATTTTAATGATGAATAACTGTTTCTCTTACATCTAAATGATTGCAAATAAGTGAAAAGTTTAAAAGAAATATTACTTAGAATTGAGCCGTGCTTGGAAGATTTTACCTTTAACACAGAAAAAGACATCAGTGTTTCTTGATGTATTTCATAATCATAAATTATTAAAATGCTAAGTATAATACTTTTCATTTATTTTGACCTAATTTAATGCTAAGACAAGAAAAAAAAATATGTTTGATAGAAATTCTGCGTTAAAGGGTTAATTCCGAATTGATTTTCATTCGATTTTATTTTGTAATTAAATACTATCGATTCACGTATTGATTCCTTTAATTTACATCCCTTAGCTTTTATTTTTTGAAATGAAGTTTACATTTCACCCTTATCCAGCTTAATCATTGTTGTAAAATGCGTCCGATTTATTCTTTAGTTCCTCTTTCCAAAATTATTCCCAGTATCCTGGCAATTAGTTTTGATAAATTAGTGGGATTCTTGGTTTCATTACTTTCCCCGAAAACAATTTTAAATTATAAATATTCTCCCTTCGAAATTAAATGCGATGCGTAATTTGAATCTATGCAATTATTCTAAAACAAATTTGTTGAGTCTAATCATTCCCATTTAATATATGATGATCTATAACGAAGGTTTGAATTAACTCATCTTTAGTTTCCTCCCTAGCGTATTTTGCGTAATCAAAGCTAATTTAAAACTGCGCTATCAATTTAAGAATTTCGGGTGTATTTTATTTTAAGACTTAGTTGAAAATATGCTCTGTGCTTGAAATAAATGGGATGTTCATAGGAAATTCAATATTAGTTTATACTACATTTAATTCATTATATATTATTCTGTTATATATATATTATTCTGTTATATATATATTATTCATTATATATTATTCTGTTATATATATATTATTCATTATATATTATATATTATATATTATTCATTATATATTATATATCATATATAATTCATTATATATTTATTCTGTTTATATTCTCATATTTTTCTATGTGACCTAAAAACATAATGGTATTAAACCGTTTCTCTTGTTCCCGCGAAGTGTTCTCATTGGCCAGTAAATCACATGATATGATACAGTTTCTTTGCATGAAGATTTATTTTTATTTGGTTGTCACCAGCAAGAAATTATATGTAGTTATTATTGCATTTTTAACCATCAAAATATTTCTTTATCTTTAACTCAAAAGTAGCGCGTAATATTTATTTATCTTCCTTTCTTATTATTTCAGTTATTTTCTTTCTTTCTTTCTTTTAATTTTGTTTATTATTCCAACTGTGTTTAATTGAAGAGTAATGTTGTCTTACCATATTATGGAACAGCTTATTATAAATATATTTAAATCGGCATCTGATTTTTATTTATAAACCATAAGGAGTTTAGTTTGTCGGAAGGAAGTCAAAATTTCAAATGATCATAAAATTCTATTTCCCGAAAAATGCTTGTGGTGATCAGGAAATTTAAGTCACCTTCAGGCACAAAGTTCCAGTAGAAATTTGAATGCATTATTTACTTGGAAAGTGCTCGAAATTTAAGTTGCAAGCTTCTTCTCTTACATACACCAAAGAGAGTTAATAAAAGCGTTGTAAATCGAGTAAGCTAGTTAAACTGCCGACTTCGCAGTTTTTGAATAGTATTTTTTACATTAAATGTCTTCACATTAGCTTTAAATCCAAAAAAAATCCTTGCATTACGTTACACGAAGAGGAAAACCGCGAAAATCTTCCACGGTCACCCCGACGGCCAGGGTATTCTAACCCATGCATTATACACCTCTGAGGATATTTTACATCAGCACTGTTGTCGTTGTGAGCAGCGAGCAGAATTCGTCTTAACCAGTCACCGAACCTGGGCCACCCTCATTTGGAAAACAAGCGTTCTATTCCTTAAGCCACCTTGGCTCGCACAATAGGCTATTAGTGACAGTCTGGAAAACATCCTTGAGGATTTTTCGAAGAACCAAATCACAATTTTGATTCTTTGCAGAAGGGATTATTTCCCCGCTCTAATAGCCCGATGTACACAAAGTCGAGCATTTGACGGTGGAACAGCTAAACGCGAGAACCGATATCGCGTTCCTTCGATCCCTTCGCAGGCTGATTCAAAGTGTTCACCCATGCAACGACCCTAACCTGTAATGTTCAACTTCGGTATCAATAACCAGTACAGACATAGAGGTTAAACTATAATATCATGTACCGTGAAAAAAGATGTTAGTTTGAACACCAACAATTGTACTACTGCTGCTGTGCTATAAAAATTTCTAATTCACTTTCTTTTATGTAAACAAACAAACGTGAATTTAATACAAATGTACTTCTTTTTATTTTTTAGGCCATGAAAGTTTTATCGAAAAAGAAACTGATGCGCCGAGCTGGATTGTATGGTAATTATGGTTATATATAATCAGTCATTAAATTGATAAGCAGAACTATATTTATACGCATGTATTTTGTTTTTAAATCATTTAAACCGAATACTTGCTCACTTAATACTAATTTACTCTAATTATAAAGCAATTGAAGGTACTTATAGGGCATACAAGCTATGAAACCAAGTTAACATGGCCCCTATGACCGATACCCAATAAAATTCGTCAAAATCTAACGAATGATATTTTAGATTTTGACATTTTTTGATTTCTGACAGATGGATGTAAAGTTTCATAAATAGCATGAATACACTGATCAATATATTGTATATGTAAAAAAAAAATTATTCCACTATGTAACAAATTTTTCCTTAAATGTTATACCGAAATGAAAATTGAATAAACATTTTAAAAAATGGATGGATTAGATCATGGAATACGCGAAGATTCCTACGAGCTACAAACTCTGTATTGGTCATATTAATTCCTTTAAAAGTTCAACCTTCGAAAAAAAATATCACAAAAACTTAATATTTTTGAACTCTTACTCTCTGCAAAAAAATTGAATTTTGTGAAATTTGAAGGGTTTTCTGTAAATTATTTACGCAGATGCTGTATCTTTAAATTACTCAAATTAATACTTTCTTTTTTTCAAAAATAAATCATGTAATATTTGAAGCATCATTAGTATTTTTTTTTCTTACATTAAAATTACATTTTTTAAATTAGTATTTTGTTAATAGTATTTTGTTATATTCGAATAAATATAAATATTAAATTTCCACTAATTGAAATAGCCGATTATTGTAACTTATTGGAAGATAATTGTACTTCAAACACCTTTCGTGCTATTTTTTTAAACTAATTTTCTGAAATTAAACTTTTTGTCTTACTCATGGAATTTTTAACCACCTGTAATAAGTTTTTTTGTAAGCTACAGTTGATAACAAATGATAATAACCAATACCTAATAGATAGCGATTTTGTAGTATTTATTGCCCTCTTTAAATGATTCAGTGCCCGCCATTAAAAAAAAAATGATTCAGTACTGTCTTCATTAATGCAATAATGAGTTTTATTTCAGCTTAACAAAACAAATTAAAATATCATCACAGTTTTTTTATATAAAAAATGAAATCTTTTACTCTATCGGTAAAACGAGCTTCCCGGCAATGGATTCACTTTACTTACAGTATACTAAAAAAGAAACTAAACTATAGCAAATACATAAGGTATTCGAACGGCAACCATTTCTCCTCCACTTACATTTGTTCTTAGTTCATTTATCAAGTATTGCCTTTCTCACCTCTTCCATAACGTACAAAGGGAAATAGTGCCTATACGAACGGATATACGAAGCAGTGTAATCAGATTTACTGGTAGTAATTCTTTTGTCACGTACCATGACATTTAGCGTTTTTTTTTCTTTTTGTATCCTTCTTTGTTATCTTTACTTTAGGGTTTTTTTATGCATTGCTCTGGTTTTGGTATTTGAAGAAAAATCTTGCCGGTTTCTAAATGTTGATCTTACTAATGAAATTACTATTGTTTTGCTTATAACTTGAGGCATATTATTGATTAATGCACTAGCCTGCCACATATGACGTAGTCAGATTTTTTAAACTACTAACCTAATGACAGAATTTGTCTCTGAATTAGCATTCTTTTATTTTAAATACTAAGAGGAGAGGCAGTATTGTAATTTAGTATGTAATTCAGTATGCTTTATAAATTTTCCTAATTTATAAAGCAAGTGTTATGATTTTTATAACAAAAAAATTTACTTGTAAATAATTTTTTTTTCTAATTTGATTATAGTCCTCTACAGAATGGTTTCCTACGTCTGACTGAGAAGTTCAAAACTAAAAAAAAAGAAAAACTAAACAATATTAAAGTTTTTATTTCAATATGAGGAATTTTCAGAATTGTTTTTTTTTTAGTGTAAGCATTTTTTATTTTACGTTTTTTAGTTTATAAATAATTATTCTTTTCAAACTTCAAATTTTTTGATAAAAATTTAAAAAAAAAACTTTTTTTTTGAAAAATTGAATGGTATAACATTATTGTGCTTCTGTATATTTTTTGCATAATTTTAATGCTTGAAGTAATATGATACAGAAAAGTATGGAATGTAAAATTTAAATAAATCTTTCACACTAAATCATTAAATTTAGTAGAACGATTTCTCAGGCACTAGGTTTTAACTCTAATTACGAAATTTTTTACAAATATTTTTCGCTGTGTTTTGGATCTTCCTTCTAAAAAAAAAAGATGTTCCATTTTGTTTTTACTTGCATACGAAAGAATATCATGCATTTTTCTTTTTCAATTTTAATAAGCCACAATAAAGAAAGAACATTACCATGCAACACTGAAGAAATTTCCAGTGCAGCTGATGATCTTGTTCTGCTAGCAGGAATTCGTCTCAGATAACAACGCCCCCTATAGGTCATTGCGTTCACGAATTAAATCTAAAGTAGCATATTTTGGTTATTAATATATGCTACATTTCCTCCTCAATTTTACGGGTATTTTTTCTTTAACCTTTAATAAAATCAACAACCATTTTTCCGTGATTAAATGTTACTTCCCTTTCATAGTTTTGTGGTCTATAAATATGTATAACTTTAAATGTCAAAAATGAAAATATTCCATTTTTATCATTCGTCTATTGAAGAACTCATTATCTGTGCCATTTTATCATAAGCTACGTCATTAAGAAAATGTTCTTTAAAATTGCTTCTATTTATGTTGGAAAAATTGTTCTAAAAATTACATTAACGGTTAAACCATTATGTGGAATTGTAAAGTTTATTTTTACTTCAAAAATTAAATGACGGATTCTTGGTTAGCAGTACCGAAAACGATTTTTTTTCGATTGAATAAATAAACTGAAATGAATAGAATTAAATCTTACATACGCTACAAATTACCGCTCGTTCATTTTGAACCCAGAACATTGAAAACTGAGGGATTTTAGAATTTGTCAGAACTGAAGTATTTTTTGGCTTGCTTCCAAATTCTGAAAAGGTCCTGGAAAATACCGGAACATTTTCAACAAGAGGAAAGAAAGTCTAGTAATTGAGCAGATGGTATTTTTCAATTCACGGAGAAAAATTCGTAAACTTTGGCTTCCAAAAATATTTCCAAAGAATAAACACATTTACCTTTATTATGTTCGGCTTTAATTAGAAATATCTACTTGGTGACTTCAGAATTTACGGCATTTTTAATTATCTTCGCTTTCAAAATTTTTTATTGAAAGCCATAAAGATAAAATGCTTATCTCTGTTTATGGTTTCATTAATTCTTATTGCTTTACTAATTAAAGAACATTTTAACCTAATTTGGATTTTAATTTTCACGTCTTCATTACCTTTTTTTAAAAAAGCAAATTCTTAGTTTATTAATTTATTGTGAATTCTAATAATAATATAAATATTAGTTCTATATCCCGAATTTAAAGTTTATTGGAGAGTTCTAGTTTAAATGATTTTTTTGCAAAGCGTTGACAGATTTTGTATCATCTGTATTTTATTATTTTTACCGAATAATGAAGCTTTTGATTTACATATCATAATTATAGTGTTGGTTAAATCTAATAGTTTTATTGGTTTAGTTGTAAATGCATGTTCGATGCACTTATGTAATCTTTCCGTCTCATATTTAATATTTCTTTCGTTCTTGCATCTGAGTTTTTGGAAGATCGTTTGCTTTTGATTTCCTGAGTACGTGATGTCGTTTGTGTTTGGCGCTGTATAGCCGCTTCCATATCTTGCTTCACTAACTCTACATTCAACCAATTAATAAGTCATAATAACATATTTCATCCTATGAATCTTAGTATTTTTAATGTTTGAGAATTATGTTTTCAGTAAAATTCAATTTTTGCAATGTTTGCAAAAAAATATTGCGAGTCTAAAATAGCTACACGTGACAAAAATTACTTTTTCTTATTTTCCTTTTCTTTTTTGGTAGTACTTTTATTCTTGTCATAGTTTTCTGTGGTTTTTTAATTTACCATCTTTTCTCATTCATACGTCTTTTCTCATACATCTTTTGTCTCCTTTCATCAAACTACGTTAATTTGGAATAGCGTTTGGATTATTGTACTCTATCACAAAATTCCAAATAATTTATAATATAAAACTATTTTATGGCTGTGTTTAATAGATAAATAAACGGCGAAACAATATAAGTATGTGAGTAGCCGAGGTTTTCAGGAGTAGTAATTTAAATTTAGTTTCTCTTGGTCAGTTCTATGATACTATAAGATTGCATTAATGTTAAACTTTGTGAAGGATGAAATTATTAGTTTTTAAAAGTCATTTTTAAAAAAGCTAGACTAAGATAACTTCTAAATGTACCTCTGAGAAACGTTTTCGCGTGACTGAGAAATAAGTCTTGTTTTCATTTTTATTCGTGAATTTTATTTAAAATGAAAATTTAGTAGTAACTGTATAATACGCGTACCGTAAGTCATTTGTTGTACCGAAGACATAAACGATCCCAAACACGGTGTTTTGCCGTCTTCGGAAAAGAATATTTCGCCTAATTTAAAAATAAATATTTCGATTTCAGATATTGAAAAATATATTTCGTCATATTCAGAAATATGTCGTCAAACCTGCCGCAATAAATATTTTTTTTTTATCACGACAGGATCCATAAATTTATTTTTATATCAGATAGGTTACATATATTCCTTAAAAAATAAGCAGGTTAATATTTATGAAAAACGCACTTGTGTTTACAAATTAAATCAAATAATCAATCTAATAATTTAAATTATTTAAGATCTTTACAAACAATAATATGAAGTGAAAGAAAAATCTTGCAAAAGTTTTCAATTATTCGTAACTGTGAATAAAAAATTTTTCAATGGCGTAAATTAAACATCTTCAACAACAAAAGTATAGAAATTTTTTTCATTCACCTCTTACCAGCAGATATTTTACGATTCTTCATTCATATTTTCAAAAGGGGGAGAAAAATAGGAAAATATGAGTTTTTAA